ATAATATAAATATAAATATAAGTATATATACCCTGTAACTCGCCCAATGTACTCGTAACATTGTCCTCCATATATTCCATTAGAATATATTCCGTTGGAATTGCATCACGTCTCAGTCTGACTCGTACATTTCCAGAATCTTTTACTAAATTCTGAAACCATGATCTTCTATCTTCAAATTGTGTAGGATAGAAGTGTTGAGAACAGACACGAGCTACAAAATTTAACAAAAAAATATTTAATAAATTTTTTATATTTTCAATTATTTTTTACTTTCATAAATTTATTATACATCAGTTTTAAGATTAACGTTTTTTTAAATAAAGCTTTCCATTTAAATAATAAAGCTTTCCATTTTTCAGTTAATTCTTCTTTTGGAAAGCATAAATAACTTATTTTTTAATTTTTTGTGTTGTGCGAGTTATTATGACAGTTTTTTATTGAACATGATGGCCTAGCAAATAAAATAAAAATAAAATATAAATCTGTATAACGAAACTTTTAAAAAATTAACTTAATTAAATTAATTTTAAATTTATTTTTAATAAAACTAATACTTTGAATGCGACTGACACTTGTGTTGCTATGTGTGAGCATGCGTGAAAATGGCGAATGTTAGTCATTGCGCAGAACGTAACGAAAATACGTCCAAAAAATGAGTATACCTTTTTACTTTCACCATGATTAGGCTTCAGTACAATCATCCGAGCGAGATGACAGTTTAGTCATAATATATACAGTAGCGCAACTCTCTGTCGGCATCTTTGATGTTAGTGTTGGCCAAAATGGAGTGCGCATGCATGAAATAAGGAAGTTATCTAGCGTTGCCACGGTTACTTCTTGCTCTTTTCATCCTTTTCTCGTTCTGTTCAAAACTCTTCACAAAACTCACTAGATTTATTCGCATCGCATTCCAACGCATTGAAGTGAGTAAGAACTATTGTAGGAGCATGTTAGAGTATGCGACGCGAATATATCTAGAGCAATAAAATAATCTAAACTTTATTAAAACTAATAAAACTAATAAAAATAAATTGTAAATATATTGAAAAATAAAGAAAAAGTATAGAAAATTAGGAAAAATATTAAAATGTAAAAAAAATATTAAATTAATTAAAAAATAAATAAATTTCAGAATAAGATTGAGCTCTCGAGATTAAACAAACAATAAACATATATTAACAGACAGGCAATTGAAAGCAAAAATTAGAACGCAGTAATTAAAGCGTTGTAACAATGTATTTCAAAACAAATATGATGAAATCACTTTCAGTTCGGTTCGAGCCATCTTCAGCGATGGTATAATGAAATAACATTAAAAATTATTCACGAAATATTCACGATAAAATCTAAGTCCACAGCTAAGAGAGCCGCCTCAAATTCAAATTTACGAAGCATCATTGTCAATTAGTTGAATAGCTAAATGATTATTAAAGAACCAATAATTGTTATTAAGACAACGATAGATTCAGCATAGAATGATCAAAGTACTCACTCGCTGCAGAGAGAAACCTGAGAAAGGCCATGGCGGCCTTTTTCGCGTGACAGGCGAAAGTTATCTATGCTAGCGGCACCAACATCAATTTTATAAATTGATGTGAACTATCACATTTTCGCCACTGTCGATAAAATCGTAGTGTCGATAAATGAATTTGGTGCTACATTCACAAACTGTGAATAAAGATAATATTAATTTACAAAAAAATATTTCTTTTAATCAGATAAGATGTCTTTTTTATAGATTTTTTTTGGATGCCGCAAGTTAAATTTCACTAGCACATCAAGTCAAAACTGAGATTTAATGGGCAAAAATGGCTCCTTAGTTATATATTTAAAATGTTCTTGTAAAAAAAGATTAACGTTATCTCGAAATTGTAATTAGAAGTGAATGTATTATTCATCTTCTACAAAATATATGCTTTTTATCTTAATATCTTACTTTTTAGTCACGTTATGAAGGATTCAAGTACAGAGTTTTTCTAAGATAGTAAATTTTCCACCTTTAATAATGAAATCATTATACATATAATTTCTAGTTTA